CCATCGTTTTTCCCACACACCTGGCAAGTGCGATAGGACGGCATGAGACAATATCCAAAGGAGATTTTCCAGTCTTTAGAAGTGGAATGAGGCGCCTTGACTTACGTGCCTGGAGAACCGTACCAGTCTGCCAGGAGTCGTTGTATAGGCGTAAGAGTGCCTTTCGAGCTTCGTCCCCAAGATTACAAAGGGCACGATAGATAATACCGTCAGGTACGGGTGCTGAAGAACGTCTGCACAGAGCCAGTGCCGCCTCTAGCTCATCCATAGAAAACTGGCATTCCATACGGGGAACACGTGAGGGTGGTGGGTTGTCAAATGTTCGTTTTCTTGATACTGTGAAATTGGAACCACCGGCAATTCTTCTACAGAAAGATTCTGCGACGTCAATCTCTCTGCATCGAAGGTGAAGTGCCAGAGACGTAAACGAGTGTCGCTGACCCAAGGTTGTGCTAAGACCCCGGACAGTTAACCATATCAGTGATAGGGGCTTTCGTGGATCCAACGACTCGCAAAAGGATGTCCAACGTCGCCTGCCAGTTTATCCATGTGCCGCTGCACTTTCTTTTGAATGCGTCTAGCCAGCCTTTAATTCATCCATGTTACTTTGTCCGTCGGTACCTTCGTTCTGCACGACGGCGTACTGCGCAAAGTTTCTCAAGCTCGATGTCGAAATCGGTGCGCTTGTGACTAGTCAAATGTGTATGCGTGGTATTCTGCAGGACATCCTTTTTCGAGTCCTCTAGGTTATATGATGAGCCGTCGGTACAGCAGTCTTCCATTAACATTTTGAATTTTGGCCAATCGGTGTACTTGAGGCCTCTTGAGGACTTGGAGCTGGTGAAACCTTCTATACACAGGTAAGTTGGTATATGGTCGCTGCCCCGCGTTTCCAGATCCGAAAACCAGTGCACTTTCCTGGTAAGTGAGCGAGAAACCAATGTAAGGTCCAGGCAGCTGCTATAGGCTGATCCGCGTAAATATGTAGGGCTTCTATTGTTACAAACGCAGAGTTCGTACTCCGAGGCTAAGGACACAAATTTCCTTCCTCTAGAGTTGTCCCTGGAACTTCCCCATAGGATATGGTGGGCATTGAAGTCGTCAGTGATCACCCATGGCCTTGGAGTCAATGTCAGAATACCACGTAAGTGCTCGCAGTCAAGGCGGCTTGATGGAGATAAGTAAGCTCCGATAATCGTGAAAGCAACCTTACCCTTCTTCACAGTAAGGCACACATACTGAATCCTCTCATCAGGCGAGACTCTGTGGTGAACGTAAAAGAGGTCATGCCGCATGAATACAATAACTTTGCTGCAGTATCTGTGAGTGGAGGACATAAAGCACTCATATCCTGACAGCTTGATTGAAACACACAGGTTGGGTTCACAAATCACGATAATGGGGAAGCGGTTCACAAATACAAACTGTCTAAAGTCAGACATGCGTGACTTCAGTCCCCTGGCGTTCCAGTGAAAGACAGATGCATTCTTGACTTCTGCTCGAAACGACGGTGCCTTGCTCGCCATGGTTTTACCTTGGAGCTGCAAGCACCAGACTCAGGGTGTCAAGCAGATGCAGTGCGGTCTGCGCAGCCGTAGTCTTCATATTACTCAGTAGGACACGCATGGTACTCATCAGCCATTGCAGCAAGCTTATCACTTGATCTTCATTTATCGCATCACTGGTTTGAGGAGTCGTCGAGGGCGGCGGGATTTGATGCAGCTCCGAAGCAGGTTGACTTCGTGGAAGAGAGGGCCACTGTTCGGAAGGTGCGACTGCTGTCCCTTTCTTCTGTTTGGCAGTACCCGTCTTCAGTGAGCTCGGTGTTTGTGGGTCAGCCTCTTTGATAGAGGATGACATCTCTCTAACGGTAGAGCAGTTTTTCCTTGATGTTCTTCGCCCACGACGCCGTCGTCGGCGTAGTGTAGCGGCAGCTTCCCTGTGCGTTGAATTGTCCCGCACCGTACGCCTGAGTACCGCATGCTCGTTTCACACCTGCGGGCAATCTTTGGATGAGGCGTCATGAGCGCCGTGGCAATTTGGACATCATGGCATGGTGGCACTGCAGGCGTCTTTTGAGTGAGACTCAGCGCACCGCGGACACACAACTCTGTTGTCACAGACACCATTTACGTGTCCCATCTTGAAGCACTTGTAGCATTGCAGTGGCTTCGGTATGGAAGGACGCACTGAGTGGCGAACATGGCCAACTTTGACATACGAGGGAAGGCTGTCTCCCTCGAACACAAGCCTCAAGCAGCGTGAGTTGCCGAGTCTGGTAATATTCGTGATGCGGGTGTCTTCAGTCGCTGGCTTTATTAGTACTGGCAGGTCATTTGCTGAGATGGAAAGATCAACGTCATAAATGACGCCTACAGTGCCATTACAACCTGTAGCGACCATTGGCCGAACTTTCACGTTGCCGATTTCTGTTATGTGCCGAAGGCTTTGCAGTGCGCTACGGTGCATAACGTATACAGCAAGGACATTCTTTCGTGCATTGATCCTCACGTCTTTGATCTCATTCGCCGTGGTTTCCTCGAGAAGCACAGAAAGAACTTGCCTGTTAAGGAGTCGCAAGTTAGATGCAGGGTCTTCGGGCATAAACAGCATGGTGTGCGGCCACCGCTGTGGTGCAGTCTTAACGGTGGAAACACTTGCCGACGATGCCGTCCGCTGCAGTCTTCGATTGTAGATCGATTCATGACGACCGTGAAGTCATCATCCGATGACTCAAAGCCGTCCGAGTACAAATCGGTTGTCTCACTGTCGGTGTCGCTCAACGCGTTGCTACGGTTCCTGGACGACGTTCGGCGCGACGGTTGCACGCCTGGAACATTCTCAGGTGTGTCCTGAAGCATCACCGCAAAGGAGGGATCGGCAGCTCCCAGGATTTCAGGGAAAACAAACAGAAAATACTGAGACATGGGCACAAGCGTTCTGTGTGAGAATCACTTCGTCGTCGTCGCCCCAATCAAAAAAAGCTTGGCAAACAAATTAGAAAACTCACAGAGCTCGATGCAGATGCAACGAATATGCTTAAAAGGAGCGCTTTTCGAAACATTTCAACTTCTTTCACCGGTATGTTCTCTGAACGTTTTAACCCGCCTACTCACATTATTTTTTAGACATGCCATAAAGTTGCCACAGTATCGGTTCTCCCCGCATGAACCACAACTGTACCACTGGGGCTGCTGCTATTATTCTGCGTACTTCTTCTCCATCTGTACAAGCTATATGTTATCGCTGATTTTCTTACAAAGAACCCTAAAGGTCACTTCCTTTTCACAAACAAGAGGTCGCTACTACGTGTGCCGAACAATAATAATGACCTTTATTATTGACCTAATGCAGACTACATTGCTGTAACGAACATTTCTTGTTGCACTAACGCAAAAGCCACATAAATGTGTTTGAAGATTTCAATGTAGCGTACGGAAAAACGCGGTCAAGAAGAAGCAGACAGAATGATATGAGCAGTTCTGTCTCTTTCTTTGTTCCTGTGTTTTTAGGTGCGATTCAACTAAGTTTTCAAGCCGAAAGTAAACCTACTCGCCCAGCTTGGCATCTTGAAGCTCCCAATACTTCTGTTTATGAAAGCTTACAAAAAATAACCAAGGAAAGGCGGGGCAATAATAATATAAATATTCTCAATAATATAATGGAAAGGGAATGTGGGCTATATGCAGAGAAAATTATGGTAATAATGTTACTGATATCAATATCTTATCATAATATTAAATTGTTATTATTAATATTAGTATAAGATAATAATAATAATACTATAATAATAATATAAATATGATTGATTGATTGATTTCTGGTGTTTAACGTCCCAAAACCACCATATGATTATGAGAGACGCCGTAGTGGAGAGCTCCGGAAATTTCGACCACCTGGGGTTCTTTAACGTGCACCCAAATCTGAGTACATGGGCCTACAACATTTCCGCCTCCATCGGAAATGCAGCCGCCTCAGCCGGAATTCGATCCCGCGACCTGCGGGTCAGCAGCCGAGTACCTTGGCCACTAGACCACTGTGGCGGGGCTATAATAATATAATATTCTCAATAATACCATGGAAAGGGAATGTGGGCTATATGCAGAGAAGATTATGGTAATAATTTTACTGATATCAATATATTATCATATTATTATATTTGTTATTATTATTATTACTATAGGATACTAATATTATTATCATAATAATAATATTATAAATATAATTGATTGATTGATTTGTGGGCTTTAACGTCCCAAAACCACCATATGATTATGAGAGACGCCGTAGTGGAGGGCTCCGGAAATTTCGACCACCTGGGGTTCTTTAACGTGCACCCAAATCTTAGTACATGGGCCTACAACATTTCCGCCTCCATCGGAAATGCAGCCGCCACAGCCGCGATTCGATCCCGTGACCTGCGGGTCAGCAGCCGAGTACCTTAGCCACTAGACCACTGTGGCGGGGCTATAATAATATAAATATTCTCAATAATTTAATATAACAAATTGTTTTATTTGTATTATGGGTAACATTTTTTCCGCACATGGTCTAATCATAAACGCCGCAAATTCGACCCATGCCGCACTTCGTAACATGCCGAGCGAACATATGATACACTGGCCTCCAGCACTTCGCTTTCATCGGAATCCGACCCGCGCGGCATGGATCGAAACTCGCAACTTTAGGGTCAGCAGCCGCGAATGCAACTACTGTACTATGACAGCAGACAAAAACCCAGGCTAGCAATGATATAGTCTGCAGTCCAGGGAAAGTGCATCCAGAATAACCCCTTCAGTAAAACTTGTTGTTGGGCTATTTGGTGCATTTTACAAAAACAAATTGACAACACAAACCACCCTTGAATAACAGGCATAAGAAAAGAGCGTGACGTTCTTTCATTTGTTGCTTTTCCCACACTGATTTGCGTCACTTAAATTTTGTATTTGTCTTCAAAGAAACCCTTTATGGCAGTCATAATCAACTGTTTTCTATTTCAGGTTTTCGACCAATGTTCAGTGCGAAATTGATTTTTGCTGTGGAAGATAATATATGTGGGGTTATGAAGCTGCAATCAACGACAGGTGAGAAGTTTCACTAAGTTATTCACTTTCACTAAACAGACACAAATTATGAAGCACACCCACGAACGTCTCGCATTCAATTTCCTGACCTATAACATAATTTTTTTACAGCACAGTTCTTTACTCCTATAGAACTGGCCATGAATATCCAATAGCAGATGATAATAATGATGGTGATTATCTTTGTTATACTGATGCAAACCCACACCGGGGAATCAGTCAAGAACCACACAGTAACTTTTGAGTTTAAAAAGATATAATATATATATATATATATATATATATATATATATGGAAAGAAGTGTATACCTAAGGGCTCGTTTTTCCGTGTTTTTACACAATAAAAATGAGATCTAACAGACAATAATGGCAAGGAAAGTATCGGGGAAGATATTAGACCAAATTGTAATGTAAATATGAAGAAAAGTGGGTGAAAATATAACTTGCCGTGATCAATATATATATATATATATATATATATATATATATATATATATATATATATATTTATTTATATATATATATATGTATATATATATATATATATATATATAACAAAGTCAATCATATCTGAGCAGAGACGCAGCCTATCAGATGCGATTTCAGACAAAGGTAGTGATGGGTCTAAAACAAATGATATAAATAAAAATATCACACTAACATGACAATCGCTTTCTTTCATGTATATAGCCGAATACTGCCAAACAGACGTCGCTGTGGCTATACCCTAATTTAATGCTGCCAATTGATAAAATTACTGCCATATTTATTTCTAATCCTAATTTTTCAAGTGCAGCTACAATCGAGGTATCTTTCCATTGAAAAGAATATCGGCGTCAGAATAAAAAGAAATGTTCTGTCGTTTCCGTTTCTTCGCAAACCTGAGATAAAAGTGATGCCTTTAGATCATTTCTAAGTAAATAATAATTTAGTTGTGGAATTCTACAACGGAATCTTGGAGAAACTTGCAATTGCCATGTTGCACACCACTGTCTATTGCAGCAGCCTCTCAGGTGTGCGAAATCTTGAAATTTGCCCAAAGCGTAGGAGTTCATTTTGTTATGCAAAAAGAGGTTTCTAAACGTTATTGCTGTTGCGTAAGCCGTATCAGGCAAAATTGGGATAAGGGGATCGCTAAGAGATACCGTGGCTAGTGCATCCGCCATATCATTTAGATATATGCAACGATAATCTCGTACCCATAACAACTGAAGTATTTGCATGTTTGTCAGTATTAGTTGTCAAGCTATCGTTATCCTAAGACGGCGTGCGCTTTTTATTCTCTTCTTCATCTCCTCCCTCGCTTCCAGAACATGCGCACCAATTTAGTTGATGTGAGAATAAATAACACGGATGGATAAGAGAACGAATACATGGAGAGAGAAAGAGAGATGACGATAGAACAAAGAAAGGCTGCAAGTAAGAAAGATTAAATAAAAGAATGAAGAAAATTTTTATGACGTAAAATATGTTCGTCAGGTGAGATTGGAATTGTCGTCCTGCAGATCTAAAGAGAGTGTATAAACCACTCGTATATTCAGGCACGCTAGGAGGGCATAACACAGGATTGTGTAATATAGTACAGCAAAGGTAGAGAAGGGAGAAGTGAGCGTGAAGAATATAAAAAAAAAATCACAGTATATCGACGAACGAAATGATGATGTGTGGGGCGAAGCATCCATTAGTCTGTCCGCCCTTCCGTCCGTCCGTTCATTCTTGCTTCCGTCCGTCCGTGCGATAGTCTGTGCGTTCGTCCATCCATACGTCCAACCATCTGTCCGTCCATGCGTCCATCTGTCGGTGCGTCCCTGTGTATGTCCGCGCATCCATGCATCGGTCGGTCCATGCGCCCGTGCCTGCGTTTTTCCGCCCATCTAGTGAACACTCCAAGTACCGCCATCTCGCCTCTTTTCATCATATATTCATCATATAGAAGTACCGATATCCAGCGGACATTGCAAGGACTAAACGAGAGGTGGCTACCTACTACTACTACAACGACTACTGCTACTAATACTCCATACGTCGTGGACGCACGACCAACGGCATAAGGAGCTTCGCCCCTAAAAAGCGCCACCCAAGAACTCCGTACACAAGGCTAACCAGTGAAACGCATACGTATGCCTACCAGTAGGACATCCGCCACAGCCGAGGCCAAACTTCCGCGCGTGAACTTCCCCTCAAAACGCATTGATACCATTGCCATGCTGACGTTGCCCTGCCTGCAACGCCGCGTTCTTGGCTCGCATTTGTCAGTTAAGTTTGGCTCGAAAGGCTTCCATATCCTTGCTGAGCAGTTGCTGCTTGCGCTTTGATACCCAGGCCTGTTTTGTGCTGGTTTCGTAGACGCTACTGTTCTGGGGAATTTTTCTTCTGTTAGGGCGTTCGTACGATCAGTGTCCTCCCCATGTGAAAGCTATAGGTTCATATTCCAGCATGTTGGCTCGGCGGCACGGCTGCGAAGACTATTAACGGTGCCACTGAAGTATAGCCAATTGTTTGCGTGCTGGGATGCGACACCATAAACGATGTAACGGATGGCGTATCCAATTGAAACCGTTATTGTTTCTCGTGGAAAATGGTTTTTAGAGACTATAGTATTGCTTGGGGACCGTCGATACAAAAATTTTCGCCTGTCTGTCCACCTGTACATTTGTCAGTTTGTCTGCTTTTAACGGTACTTTACACGGCACCAAAGTGGCCAAACTATACTTTGAATGGCCGACCCTCTCCGCCGCGCCCCCCACTATACCTCAGAATTCAGTGTTCATACTTGTGTTATTATCAATTAAAAAAGCAATTATTGCGCATATCTGTGGCACCATAACAACATAGTCAATATTCTGTATGTTTGTCTCTTACTAGCAAAAATTATACATAAGTAGATATGAGAACTGTAGCGTTTATCACACTGCGCTGACCGAGGCAACGCTTGCACCAAAAGGCAAGTGTTTCCAACGGTTTGCTAAGACGAGACCTGTGGTGGCACCTACCCGTCGCCGAGCGTTCTACACCTTATCTCCTCCGAGACGGGCGCGCGGAGTGCGCACGCTTCGTTTTCCAAGATAACTGCCAGATAGCGCCCATGGCTCACGTGTGACATGACTTGATGCGCTCGTTCGCCTCCGCTGCACGCTTGAGGCACTCTAACGCAGCGCCTCCAGAATACTTTTTACCGATTTTCTTGCGCAGAACATCAAATAGACGTTTTTTTCACTCTCTTCAGACGTACGACTATTGTCTTTCCACGACATTCACAGTGTAAGGTGCAGATGCGTAGCCAATTTTTTAAATGAGAAGCATTTCTTAGCAAATTTCGGTGACTTTGAGCGTATCTATCTATCTATCTAGCCGGCTACGCTTGGGTGCTCTCGTGGTCACCCCCTTAACTTGGCGTGAACCAAAATTTGCATAGGAAAGTAAGATGGCTTGACGGTAATGACACGCTGGTCAGGACATGAATATTGTCACAATCTCGTCACGTCGGCAAACACTTCCCGCCAGACAGTGGCGCACACCCACGGTTGGGCATGTGCAGCTGGTATGCTGGCATGTGCCACAGGAGATTGACACTTAGTGCCTACCCAGGAATGACGAGAACACACATGGGCAATTTTAACGCGAAGAAATACCTAACATCGGTAGCTTCGACCCAACGAATGCAAAAAATAAATGTGAGGGTCGCTGCTGGAATTGAACCCAAGCGTTCCGCGCGGCAACAAAACATTTTTTCGCAGAGCTACGTCTGGTCTCAGAACTACTTTTCAAATAGACGCTAATCTTCGAGAAATGTCAATAGTGGTCGCAGTGCTGCCTACCCAAGTTTATATACAGTACATATGTACTTCTTTGATACAGCCGTCACGTCAGGTTAACATTATTTGTGGCTCCGCCGTGGTGGTCCAGTGACTAAGGCACTCGGCGGCTGACCCGCAGGTCGCGGGATCGAATACCGGCTGCGGAGGCTGCATTTTCGATGGAGGCGAAAATGCTGTAGGCCCGTGTGCTCGATTTGGACGCACGTAGAAGAACCCCAGGTGGTCAAAATTTCTACATATTAATCAATCCACCAACGTAAATTGAGGTTAATCATCATGCGCTGAAGTTGATTTATGTAGCAGTGTCCAGGGCCAACATCCTCGCGAGCATCAGCGCTTCGTATCAGCTTCTGGTGTTGCTAATATGCATGTTCCAGTTAGCATCGTTGCGCAAGTGCAAACAAGGAGTTATATAAACATCTGCAACTTTTCAACATGCCTGTGCATGCAACATTTGTACATATATTTAGCGTCTTTTCATGACTTGTCGCTCAATACAAAAGTTGCAACATGTTAACGTTCCCTCTGCATGCTTCGCTTAACGTTGATACACAGGTTCGTGGGTCCTGCAAGTTTTTTTGTTTTTTTTAATGAGGAGCATTTCTTAGTCACATGATGTCGCGCTTCAGCGTTGGCGCCATCCACACCCCCACTGCGCATTTTCGGCTTGTCTCGTCTTGCTTAAATGCGAGTGGTGTGTCTATCATCAGCGGACCGCGAGTTCGTGATTCAGTCAAGGGCGCATCTTCACCTTCCGATAAAACGACGGCATGAAGCAATAAAGACATTCTTTAACTTGACATTTCTTGCATTTGCTTCTGCTTATTTATTAAATAGCAATAATAAAGACGAACTGAAGGATGAACCGAAATTTCATAAACATGTCGCTTCAATCGTTAAATGATTCCATTTGAAGTCAATGCTATAATGAAGACACGTACATATTAAACGCGAAGCATTTTGAAGTGAAATTTAGCGACTTTGAGCGTATCTATCTATCTATCTATCTATCTATCTATCTATCTATCTATCCATTTATCTATTTTGCCACCTACGACATTTTCGATAGTGGTATCGATACCAGACTTGGTGTGGCATAACATGACTATATGACGAGCATATTTGACTAGTCATTATCACGACTTCATGATATGTATGTCATGATAGTTATGATATACATTT